AACTATTTTAGGGGCATGCATATCACTTTGAGGAAAAACAGGGTGGTGTCTTGGGGCAGCATATTCGGGATATATTAAACGATAAAATCCAGCCGAGACTCCTGGAAAGCCAACTCATGTAGGAAACGAGTGTATACCTCGATCGCTTCCCTCTTGGCCTAAGATGTCGTTAGTGGTCGTGTGTAGTGCTGCGTTAAACGACTAAAACTATGAATCAATCGATCCTGTTACACTGGCCTGGTGAGGCTCCATGGGGACAAAGCGCCTTTCGGAATCAACCACTTCGTGTCACGGTAGAAAATCTGTTCCAGAGCACAAATTTCTATCATATTTTTCGAAAATATTGGCAAACAAGCAGGAACTTTTTGCGGACTGTTTCAGAAAACAATAAACGCCTCCACCAAAGTGTATTCTAACGCATACTCCCCAAGGGGACATGAGTTCATGTTTCCATGATCAACTATGTGGTTCAGTTCGGCATGATTGACCATTTTTGCGTTTTTCATCCGAAAACTTTGGGTTGGAGGACAGTTAAGCGTGAATCGATAATGTCCTTAGGGATCACTGTACCATTGCCGAAAAAAACTGTTTGAAACCTAATCAAACAGCAGGCAGCATGGGACGCTTGACCTTACCGGGCCATTGATAACAAAAACGGAATCAGATTGACCCCAAGTGTGGGCGGTACTCACACACACACCTATGTTTTCGCCAATACCGCACCTAATCCACTCATCAGCTATGTTGTTAGCTAATGTTTACCACAACACTCGACGAAAATAAGCTGTTTACCAACGAAGTAGCCAGCTGGTTATCAAACGAAACTACAACCATTCAAACATAATCAAGCAGTTTTACTCAATTATCCGTTCGCCGGAGTAGAACGTCAAATCAGGGTATGAGCACGTAGCGTCCGTTTCATGTTCAGGGTACTACTGATATGATTTGAGTAGAACATCACAGAGAATAGCGTAGGGCTTGAGTTAAAAGTTTCGCTAATGACACCGGTAAGACGCCGGACATTTTTCCATCGCTGATGCCGAAGAAACATCATTCAGACATGATAGACACCGTCGTCATTGGTAGATAGAGAGAGTGGAACCGAGGCTAGGCCGGATTATCGTGACAAGCTACGTTGGCTGCAAGACTTATCAGAAGATATATATATATATATATATATATATATATCGATA